CTCTAATGTATCTCTTGGCTTACCCTCAAAGACCTGTTGTTAAGACGAAACCCATAGAACTAATACATTACGACAAATTGCCTGCCGGTGCCAATGCAATGGTGGCCGTCATGTCGTACAGTGGCTTTGATATAGAAGACGCCACTGTTATGAACAAAGCCAGTCTGGACAGGGGTTACGGCCGCTGTTTTGTATACCGGAATCAGAAGTGTGTTCTCAGGAGTTATTCTAAATTCAATAATATTAAGGACAGAATTATGGGTCCAATTGTTTCCGCCGAACCGCCGTATAAGCCGATCGCCAAACACTCGTGCCTTGACTTGGATGGCATCGCAGCCCCCGGAGAGGTAGTCAGCAATCGGTCAGTTATGGTCAACAAGTCATCGCCTGTTGTCAGCAATATTGACGACACGAGTCTCCCAAATGTTGGCGGAAGGGCTGCAATGGATTCGACGGCATATAAGGACTGTCCCGTCACTTACAGAGGAATCGAAGACGTGGTTATCGAGAAAGTGATGATCACATCGAACAGCGAGGAGTCGTTTCTAATAAAACTACTTCTGAGGCAAATGAGAAGACCAGAAGTGGGCGATAAGTTTAGTTCACGACACGGACAGAAGGGAGTCATTGGACTGATTGTGCCTCAGGAGGACCTGCCCTTCAATGTGGACGGCATTTGTCCCGATATGGTGATGAATCCGCATGGATTTCCCTCCCGTATGACTGTCGGTAAGCTTAAGGAATTAGTTGCGGGAAAGTCAGCGCTTATTGCCGGCACTCTACACGACGGCACTGTATTCGGTGGGACGACCATCGATGAGATATCGGAAATTATGTTGAAATATGGCTTCAATTATAACGGCACAGAAGTTCTGACTTCTGGCATAACTGGGGAACCATTGAGTGCTTACATATATTTCGGACCCATTTATTACCAAAAGCTAAAACACATGGTTTTGGACAAAATCCACGGCCGTTCCCGAGGACCTCGAGCTGTGCTCACTCGACAACCCACTGAAGGTCGTGCCAGAGATGGAGGTTTGCGTTTAGGAGAAATGGAAAGGGATTGCCTGATAGGACACGGCGTGAGTATGCTATTACTCGAACGGCTTCTTCTATCAA